CTTGATCCTGAAATACCATATATGAGTGCAATTGGAGCTCTTATGTATCTTGCTAATTGCACTAGACCAGATATATCATTCGCTACCAATTTATTAGCAAGATATAACTCATCACCTACGAGGAGACATTGGAATGAAATCAAACATATATTCCGTTATCTCCAAGGGACAATCGATTTGGGACTGTTTTACTCTAACGATAAAAAACATGAAATAATCGGTTTTGCAGATGCAGGATATCTATCAGATCCCCATAAAGCAAGATCTCAAACTGGATACGTTTTTACGGTTGGCGGAACTGCATTTTCTTGGCGTTCCCAGAAACAAACATTAGTTGGGACATCTTCAAACCATGCTGAGATCATTGCACTTCATGAAGCAACTAGGGAAAGCATCTGACTTAGAAACATGACTCAACATAGTCAACAAGCCAGTGGACTATCGAACAATAATGACCCGACGGTGATATTCGAAGACAATGCAACATGTGTCACTCAAACAAAAGAAGGATACATTAAAAGTGATAGAACTAAACATATCCCGCCAAAGTTCTTCTCATATGCTCAAGAGCTTGAAAGAAACAAACAAATCAAAGTTCAATACATTCGATCAAGCGATAATGCAGCAGATTTGTTTACGAAGACGCTTCCGACGACATATTTCGAAAGCACGTACACAATATTAGGATGAGACATCTTCGAGATTTGCACGGGTGATAACTCGAGGAGGAGTATGTGCGACTTTACTCTTTTTTCCTTATCTCGGTTTTTTTTCCACAGGGTTTTTCCAGATAAGGTTTCTAACGAGGCAGCATAAACGCACATTAAATAGTGGTAACTCCAAGGGGAAGTATTAGGAAAAGTGGATTTACCACTATTAAAGATTATCTTTTCATTTATTATATTAAATGTATTGATAGATGTGCCAATTTTGCCTATAAAAGGCAAGTTATGTACAACATTTGAGATACGGAAACTTGAAAAAAAGAAAAGCTTGTAATATTTGATATCCGGTTTTTACATTGTGTTCTTTATTTTCATCGTTTTTCATAATAATTCTTTTTATTTAATGATAAATGTTTTTCGAAAAATAAAAAAGAAATAGAAAACTAAAATATAAAAGTGAAGCAGAGAGTAGGGGAGCAGTAGTTTTGTGTGGAGAAGAAATCAAGAGGACAGCCGCATATGAAAGCATAGTTTTTTATCCAGAGTTTAAATCTAACATAGCAGCTCCATTTCATCCTCTTACAAATCCCCTTTTTTAGGTTCAGAAACGTCGTCGTGTTTCCTCTGAGGATCTGTATTGATCGGCTCATCGATTTGGGTTCATCTGCTCGATTTTTCCATCTACCTCCGATCATCTCTCTTTTGCTGTTTCAGGTTTCGTAATCGATCTATGGTGGCGTCCTATTGTTCTTTCTTGATCGGTGAATAGCTTAAAGTTTCCTGCTTTTATTTGGTCAATTTATCGTTCTGTTACAATCTAGTGCTTACGGGGGGCTTTAGGGTGTACTTTCCGTGAATTGCTATCAATCCACCTTGCAGTGAAGTTTTCTTTTCCCCTCTTTTGTTGTTTCCCTTTGTTGATGTGTTTGGGAATTCGATTTTGTTGCTTTGTCTTCAGGGTGCTTAAAAGTAGAGAAATTTTGCTTGATTTTGGCATTCGGCTTTGTAAGCTTCTATTGGCTTTGAAATGCTATGTTTTGAGGAAAAGGTCTGATCTTCTGTTAGATTGTGGCTTTGGTTATTTTAATTTTGGTCCTTCTT